CATCATCACTGGATAACACATAATGTAGCGGCCCTCCACACACACACACACACACACACACACACACACACACTGCTCGCCCTCGCTCGTTCCCCCCGTCTCCTCTTTCTTTCTTTTTCCATTTTTTTAAAGTGGCCTCTCTCTGCAACACGATGTCCCAAAGTCCCAGTCGGTTCAGCGACGTCTCTTTTGTGTGTGTGTGTGTGTGTGTGTGTGCCTGAAGTGATGTCACTTTGCAACCGTTAGCTATGCACCTTACTGACAGAAGCATTTCTTCACTTGTTGAATTAACACTGGAGCAAAACGTTTCATTTTGTAGACACACGTATATAAAAATCCCCGTCAGTGTAGTTCAGTGTCCCTCTCAGCGGATCTACTCGTCACCTGATGACCTCTCTCAGCTTCGACTCTTCATTCTTTGACTTTATACCAAACTTGAGGTGCCTCGTGTATATATATTTTCTCACGGTAAAGGTCGCTCCTTTGCCGTTTAACACTAATGACCTTGTTAGCCAGGGGTTTTTTTAAAGAACATTTTTTCACCTTTATAGAAAAAAAAAAGTTTACTGTATTTTAAAATGACTTTTTTACACACATCAGAATTATTCCAGGAATTTGCAAATACAATCTCATTTTGCACTTTATATCGGATTTACTCGGAGTGAAAAGGCCCGTGGGAAACTGTCTCAATCAGATCAGTATTAGGAGAAAGGTTAAGCCCCGCCCCCGCCCCGCCCCGCCCCACCCCTGAATGTACAGAAAAAATGTTAGTGTTAGTATTTGAAATTGAATTGAGCTCAGGTTCTTCGTGCAGAACTCGACCGTAGATGAAAACACCCTGATCCAAAAGACGACTTAACGTTGTTCCTTCTCTCTCTAAGTTCTCTCTCTTTGACTTTTTCTCTCTCGCTCTCGCTCTACGCCAACCGATCCTCAGTATGAAAACTATGCCAATCTTCTTCAGGTGACACCCCCGCCCTCTCTCCTCTCCTCTCCTCTCCTCTCCTCTTGTGTCCTTTTCTCTTGTGTCCTCTCTTCTCTCCTCTCATGTCCTCTCTCCTCTCCTCTCCTCTCCTCTCCTCTCCTCTTGTGTCCTTTTCTCTTGTGTCCTCTCTTCTCTCCTCTCATGTCCTCTCTCCTCTCCTCTCCTCTCATCTCATGTCCTCTCATCTTGTCTCCTCTCCTCTCGTGTCCTCTTCTCTTGTGTCCTCTCCTCTCATGTCCTCTCTCCTCCCCTCTCCTCTCCTCTCCTCTCCCCTCCTCCTCCTCTTCTCTCCTCTTCTCTTCTCTCCCTCTCCTCTCCTCTCCTCTCCTCTCCTCTCCTCTCCTCTTCTCTCTGCGAACTGTTAAAAACCTCCTCAGAACATTCCTACTCTCTTTAAAAAAAAACGTTTCAGCAACACATCGCTCAGTAGCCGCTGCCGCCACTCAGCAATCACTCTCCCCGTGTTTTTCCTTAAACCAAGGCGGACACTTTTTTTTTTTCCCCATTCTCAGCAAACGTCTGGTTTGTGTGAGACTTAACCTCTGCTACCGAGCAGCAGCTGTGCACTGACATGAACGACAACCCGCTCGCTGCGTTGCCTGTCCTCTCTGGTTGGTCTCTTTATCTTGTCTCGCCACATGTTTGTGCTGCCTGATGTGGAAGAGCTTGTGGTGCGCGTGTACCGGGGACCGGGCTAATGCCTGGTGCAGGGTCGGGCTAATACCTGATGAAGTGAAGAGAAAGTTTATCATCAGGATAAAAAAGGAACAAGTTGATGCATAATTCAAACAGATACAGTTTTGGTCTTTGGTCCAAACCGGTATTTGTGTACCACAAAGACTCTCCACCGTCCTTTGATTCAAACTCATTCCTACTGCAGGTGTTTCAAAACCAATCTGTCCTCTGTGTGTGTGCGTGCGTGCGTGCGTGCGTGCGTGCGTGCGTGCGTGCGTGCGTGCGTGCGTGCGGGTTGGGATGTGGTTCGGAGACTTTAAAAGAAGGCATGATATGATTACTAACTCACCACTCTGTTCTTTTATTTGGGGGAGGGGGGGTAATGCTTTCTCTGGAGAATTTGAGTTTTAAAAAAAATAAATGACCAAGGTTCCACTTCTTCCCTTGTACAAATTAATATAAATAAATATATATAAATATATATATAATACATTTTACTCATCTTTGTCCAGTTTTGTATATGACACTCGTGTAAAGTTTGTTTTTTCAAGAGGCATCGGAGCAGCTATTACAAGACAATATGAGTGACGATGTTCACCTGGGAGAAGTTTATGCATGTTATATTTTCTCTTTTCTCTCTCTCTCTCTCTCTCTGTCTCTTTTAATACCCTCCCCCCCTAATCCCCCCCTCACCCCCCTCACCCACCCCACCTGTTCAGGTGTGTAACGTGAATATAAAGAAATCTACCTTTTCTTTGGAATGTTGTAGACAATCAGTCTCAGGCCGGGTCCAGTCCCTGCAGGGAGTGAGAGCCTCTGCAGGCGGACACACAAACAAAACTCTTCTTCTTCTGTTGTTTTTTTTTTGCCGTTTTAAAAACAAAAACCTCTTTTTTTCTTTGCATCTACTGGAAGTTTCTAAATTTTGTTTGTTTTTGTTCATTGATATGTTCGTGGCTGCTCAAGTTTACACACACACTTCTCTACTACACTCAAAACACAAACACCTCGTGCATTTGATCCCTCTGCTTTTTTTTTTTTTTTTGCTTTTTTTTTTTTCCAAGGTGAGGATGCCAACCTTGAGGAAATGATGCTTTGACTAACAAATCTATAACATCTATGAATGTGGGAATGCAACACATTGCAATAAAAGCACCATTTGAAATGCACAGTGTTGTCGCTGTATGTTCTGTAAACACCTGAGGTCAGCTTTTTAAAAGTTAAACACATTTGATGATGATGGCGGCGTTTCTTTTGGACTCTGCAGCGTCTCAAGTCCGGGTAGAGAGCCTGTCGATCGCATATTAAAAAAGGGTTGCAAAGTAGAAAACAAACTTAAGTCCAGAAGGTTATAGAAGTGTTGGATTTTTCATTAGTTTAAAAAAAAACTGCGTACAGGCTTTTCATGCCTCTATTTAGAGACAGGACAGAGTCAGAAATCAGAGAGAGAGAGAGAGGGGGATGACATGCCACAGGTCAGATCTGAACCTATCGAGGACTACTACAGCCTCCCTCATGAGGCACAGGCACCAACCACTAGCCAACCAGCACCCCCAGTTTTGATTTCTTTTAAATGCTGGTTTGTTAGTTTAGTTTTTTATTTTGTGAAAATGCTCAGATTTAGTTTTTATCCATTTTTAGTTTTTATTTGTACCGTTAATGGTTCAGAGAAAATTCTCAAGCATTCCTTTTTTTTTTTTTTTAAACCTTATGGCATGTCTCTGTAGGTTCTCATTCATCCGGGTCATGGTACATTCGAAGCTTGATCCAAAGGCAACTGGACGAGGTTGAAGTAATTCACCTCTTCTCTGAAAAGCAATTTCAGTTGTAAGCTATCTGGTGGACGGCGCTAGAATTACATTTCATCAGAAGTGATGAAGGACAAAGTGCTCATGATGACATGGAGGGGTGTTAAAGAAAAGAAGGTGGTGGTCTGAGACCCATATTTCACCGTCCTACAATGCTGTTTTGAATTCTCTCTCCAACAACTGAAGCCCCACTCCCTCCTTGTGACATTTGACCCTAACAACCCGCAGACCTCTGGGGGTCGATAACCGACTCTAGGCCAAACTAGGTCAACGACTCGGCTAGCGTCTCTCGTGAGTCATCCTGGAGAGGCTTACATTTCTAACTCCGTCCACCGGATAGTTCAGAACTGAAGAGGGCCTTCGGAGGAGGAGAGGGGAAACTTCTTCAACGTCTTCAACCGAGTTCTGTTGCCTTTGGATCAAGCTTTGAATTTACCCTTTGAAATATAGAATAAGAAAGGGGGACAAGGTTTGAACTCATCTGAATTATAACCTGACGAATCGTAAAGACAGGCTGTGTGTCAGTCTGTGTGTGTGTCAGAGACGAACACTAAGGGAGATTTGGTCCATAAGTTGATTTGATTTCTGTCAACGATAATAACCTTGGTCCAGATTCATACTGGAGACATTACACTGAAAATGAAAGTACTTATTTAGTGATGCATATTTCGATAAGGAAATAGAACCCTTGTATAATAATTGACCGACTCTGACGCTAAAGTTTATGTCAGAAAATGTTACGAGCAGTGGTCTAGCAGTTGGTTCACGCACCCCATATGTGTAGGCCTAAGTCTTTGAGAGCGGGCAGCTCCGGGTTCGAATCCGTCCAGTGGCTTTTTTCGCATCTCTCTCCCCAGTTTCTGACTCTACCCACTGTCCTGTCTCTAAATGAAAGGCGTAAAAAAGCCCCCCAAAAATCGAACAATACCTCAAAAAGTTTTGTTTTGTTTGATTGATTACGATTTAAAAAATAAAAAATAAAGTTGTTAGGAAGTATGAAAAATAAAGTCTGGAAAGTCTTAACTATTACATCGAGCGACACCATGGAATCTGCTCCAGCCCCCGTGAGATAGCGGTATAGAGGATGAGTCGACTTTGAACATCATTAAAGAAACTTTTTGTTTTAAGTACCACAAAGAGCATTTAGAGTTTCTTTCAAATTACTTTGACTTTTCAGGTGGAGATAATCATATTCAAAATGTTACTAGATTTCACAGATAAGTTCAAACTTGCATAGAAGGGGGGGGCCGGATGCCTAGCAGTGAGTGCGCCGCCCTATGTACAGAGGCTTAAGTCCTCTAAGTGGGCGGCCCAGGTTCAAATCCGACATGTGGTTCCTTTCCTGCATGTTATTCCCCACTCTTTCTCTCTCTACCTGGTTTCTGACTCTATTCTTTGTCTATATCTGAAAAAAAAGCCCAAAAATAAATCTTTGAAGATCTTAAATAGAAAACTCATCGTCTAAGAATATTTTATTTCACCAATTTTGTCCCCTCAGCTTATTTATTGGACATTTTTATCAATACCTTCAATTAATTTTTAGATATTTATTCATTAATTTGGCACAAAATAAAGTTTGTCATTTCAGCTGCAATAGAGTGCAATAAGAAAAATATGAAACATAATGCATTTTAGAAAAAGATAATCTGTTGGCTTATCAGACACGTCCCCACTCTCTCTCTCTCTCTCTCCGGTTTCTGACTCTATCCATTGTCTTTATTTTACACTAAAGCCCTTCAACACTAGAAAGAGCCGCTTCATTGGAGGTTGTCGTTTTTTTCTGTCATGAAAAACAAGTTCAACATTTGATTTGCTAGTTTGAGCAGTAAATCATCTTTAATCACAGAGCATATCACCTGTATATAACCTGTGTTCTAAGCATTGCAGAGATTAATGACAAACATGCACATAACACAAAATATTTCATCAAAACAAAGGGCTCATCGTCATATACACAGTATAATGTGATCATTTTGTTTGTGGGGCTCTGCTGGGAGAGGCTGAACCAGTAAACATTTAAATAAGTGTGCTGTTTATCCTCCTTTCCAGTCAAATGGAAAACGTGGAACATTTTGTGATTGACTTTAAAACTTTCTTTAATAGCGCACTCACACTAGACAAAGTTTTCCCGTAGCGTGCTGAAGAGTGATTGCTCCCCCATTCCCCCATTTCCCCCGCTAGCCTGCGCTCACACTGCTCCAGGAGTAACCGGGCCCGAGCACGGTTAACGTCCTAATACAACACATGAAGCATGCTTAGTCAACAAGAGGCAAAATAAGTAAAAGAGAGACGGGCGGTCAAGTCCGCGTTTGCACATTGGAGAACAAGACTGCAACTTTACTGATTTTGTGCCTTATTTTGAGTTATTTTCGTCGGATAGAGCCTTAACCATGGAAGCACACTTCTTCCAACCGAGCCACCAGGGCCAAGAAGGTGTACAGTGCTTGAGCCCGGATCGGAGCACTCACACTAGTCAAACGAACTGGACTTTGAAGGTTAAAGTGTGCTTTGGCGCCGTACGGATAGCCCGGTGTGAGTGCGCCCTAAACGACAGTTCAGTATTTTTATGCAATTTGAACATTTCCACACAAATACAAGGATGTTATAAAAATAAAAAATAAAAACTCCTGATCTTCAGTCTCTACATCGGTGTCTGGCATATGATTGCGTTCTCGACTTTCTTTATGACGTCTCTGTGACTCGTGTAGGTTCCCTTCTCGATAGGCGGCGTGGGGCTCTTGTGTTCGTTGTACTCCACTATGGGGTAAGTGATGACGGTGAGAACCAGCACAGCCAGGAGGATGTATAGTTTATACTCCAGACATATGAAGGTGCTGTAGGCGAAGGCGATAACGAAACCAAGCGACTCCCACATCCTGTAGTTGGCGAACGCCGCCTCTTTTTCCCGGGGAAACAGGACGCCGTAAAGAGCTGCAGGGCAGAAAAGGAAAAGGCAAATTAAATCTACTATCATCAGCTTTCACCTGCATTTATATACGCCTCTGGGAACTCTTCAGGCACTGCAGATGTCAGCAGTAAATGACTCCTCCTTTACCCTGCGTTGCTTACAGTCCAACAGACAACATGTCTATAATATGTGCCTGCAGCGATGTCTCCAATACAAATGTGTTATTTCTTGGTTGATTACATTCCCCCGAGGATTGCCTGTTCATCTGTTTCTGGTGAGTCACAGTTTGACTGTAAATAGCGAGTTACACGGAGGCCTCACTGATTGTCTTGTGATTTACTTGCATCTTGCAGGTCTTCTGTTTTCTGAAATGTGCTACATAGAAAATATAAACTTGCCTTGCTGTAACAACATGATGCAGAGATGTAACAAGTAAAAAGTCAAGCTTTGTCATGTCTGTCCTTAAGAGGACTAATAAACAACTATTAAAATGTTTTGTTTTTTAATGGAGGTCAGATCGATCATTTCTGATGCATTATAGGAAGCTGGGAAATCCAAACTGATTATTTATAGTGAAACAGTGTCGAGCAGATTTGTCACTCAAGTTGAAATGTTTTGATCTAAAGACGACTGTAACCTGCACCTGCATGTGGATATCACTTTATAGAGATAAATAAATTATTATTATCAACAGGTGTCAACTTGTGATTGAAGCTGGGGTGTCATTATGGTAGATGATCTGCTTCGTTTCTCAGTATGGCTGTTTTTGATGGAAAACACCAAAGCCTGCTGATTTGGGATTGGTGAAGACTACTCACACTAAAACTGGACTCCAAACAGAAACCAGAACACACTGAATCCAGACCCCCTGTGAATATCACCATCACGTCTACTTTTTGTGGTAGAATAATGATTTCATAATGATTCATATTCTTTGAAACCTAAAAGAGGCAGTGATTGGAAAGTAGTTTTGTGACTCCACTATACAACATTTTTAAAAGAAATATCAAAATATTGCTAATAATATTCAGTGGCGATTCTAGACTCCATTAAGACCCCGGGCAAAAATTTAAATTTGGGGCGCTCCAACCCGGCGTTCATCCTTGTTATGTCTGAAAGTGTCCCCGATGCTTACTCCTCTTCCTCTTTCTGTTTTCACTCCCCGACAGATTATTCTTCTTCATTTTCCTTCGGTGACTTTTACTGCTAAACTTTGGTTTCCACAGAAATAATGCATACGACATTAAGCAGAGTAACGAGAGTGAGCGCTTTAGGGAGGTTTCCTACTGTCATTGCAAAATTTGCACATTATGAGCCACTGCTTTGGTTTAAAGTTTGTCAGCCCTCAGGGGGGCCCCCTATTGGCCCGAGGCCCCAAGCAGTTGCCGGCCTTGCAAGTAGAAAGTCTAAATAGGGTTTGGGTGTTAGAGAGACCCTTATCTAGTGATGTAAAGAGTTTAATGTTTAATTGTCCGGTTCATTTAAAGACAGTTTTCTAACCTGGTATTAATAGTTCATGTAATATTGTTGTTGTTTTAGTTTCTTACCATTGGTCTGCGTCTGCCAGATAGCGTCCGACATTCCCCACAGAGCAGGAAACACAAAAAAACACAGGGAGCTGCTCAGGATGAGGCCTCCAGTATAAGAGACCAATGATACAGCAGAAGTTGCAAGCCGCAGCTGAAAATGGACGAAAAAGCCAATGAAACATCTGCAGTTATCCTGTATCTGTTTAAGTATTCATTTTATTAAAACAAAGGTTTTTACCCAGAAAGAACAGTGCAGCTCTCCCCGTGTAGCGAGCAATTCTCCCGAAGAGAAATGAGCAAACAGAATTAGCGGCTCCGAAACACATCATGACAAAGCCGACGTAATGGATCCCCAGCGCACATGTGGTATAGTTCTGCAAGAGACACAGCATGGATTTAGCAAATGGACACAATACAGATCTGACATCTGACTAAATCTTAAGAGTATTTTGTTATCATAAATCAAGATCACATCACAGTTTAAGATAACATTTATGGTTTCGACCTTCTCACCTTGGTGTACTCCCCGGAGAGGAAGCTCTGCTCGAAGCCACTGTACATGGTGAGAGGGATGAGGGTGACCAGCCTCCAGTCCTTCAACAGTCTGAACGTGGCCAGAAACGTTTGACGGAACGGCTCCCTATTGCCACGAAACTCGCTGGTCTGCTCCTGGTCGATGTTGTCCAGAAACACTGCGACTATCAGGATGGCCAGCACACCGACGCCTAGCGAGGATACACAACACTGAGGGTAAGATATAAACATTTACAGTATGATGTGGTGAGAGAAAACACAGGTTTAGGTTTCCAGTTCTAGTTTGACTCTTTCTGATTATGCTGTTTTTTAAGTCGTTTTGTTTAAGTCTTATCGGCCGTTGCTGAGCCTTACACTGCTCAGAAAACGGAGCAAAGATGATGTTAAAGAACACCAAGGCGTTTGTAAACGTTCCTTTAAAGGAGATCTATTATACTCACTTTAACCATTAATTATCATCAGTCAGTCTGAGACAACTATTAAGTAGCGTTTTGAGATCTGTAGCTCAAAAACCTTCTTATTCATGTTACAGGGCATCAGTTAAATCCCTCATTTCAGCCTCTGCCTGAAACGGTTAATTTCAGCTGCTGTCCCTTTAAGTCCACTTTACTCTGATTGGCCAGCTCTGTTTGCCGTCACGGGGATATTTGAGTGATCTTCCAGATGGGCGTGTCCTTGAAAGAGCTGCCAGGGTGGGCGTGTCTTCCAACTCTGCTCCATGTTTTACTCTCAAATACGTCGCCAGAACCTGACTTCAGGTTCTAACCGAGTCTCACAAAGTTCAAAGAGCAGCAGGAAACCACGTCCGTCAACTGTCTATCTTGGGTTTGAAAAAACTTTTACGAGGTTTAGTACGGACATCCAACAACGTTAACATCTTTGTATGTATTTAAATATGGATCAGCATAATAACGCTTCTTTAGTTCTTTGGGTGTGTATAATTAAATCATATTTTTTACTTGTTCACACAACTTCAAATAAAATAAAGACTAATTGAAAAACAACGTTAAAAAGCCAGTCAAGTTGTTCCTTATGAGTCCCAATAAAACCTTCTTTATGCTGCCCGTTTCTTTACAAAACCCTCCGTTGCTCTTGATGAGTATATTAATAATTCAATCTGTCTGCGTCTCTGTTGTGAAGCCAAAGTAAACTCTGTTCTTACCGATGTAGCATCCGACGAGCGTCCACACCAGCTTTTGAGCAGGTTTGATTATCGTGGAGTTCATGGAGATGTTGAGACCGCAGTCTGCAGCTCCGCAGCTCAACAGCTGCTCCTCAGGGATGTGAGCTGTCAGGACAAAGCACAAAAGATTTCACTGAACCAGAGTTCAATGATCGGGGTTTCCAGGCACAGCACTGTGGAGCAAGTGAAGGGAGTAATTGGATCCATAAGCTAAGGAGGACATTACAGAAGTCTGAATGGAACGACAAGCATGAACAAGTAATCAAAAGAATTTGATGAACCCGAGCTGAAACAAAAGCTTCCTTTAACTCAATATCAAAGCAACGTTCTGAATCAAAAACAACACCAAACTTCTTTGCAGTCCTTTCGACTTTTTGTAAAAGGGGTCCAAGATTGGCAATCAAACAAACAAGATCATTTCTGCTTTGTCGTCATTTAGTTTAAGGAAGTTTTGAGATGCCCAACAATTGATTAAGTAAATCTAGACTGTTGTGATTTGTAGTCTGCAAAGGGACGTATAACTGGGTGTCGTCTGCGTAACAAGTTCACTTTCACAAAGAACTGCAGGGTAGAAGTAATTTTGTTTTCAGCAGATTCAGTTTGTTTGAGGAGGCATGCATTTGTGGGAAACCTGCCTTTCTTTGGGTCACCAGAGTTTCTGAGTAAAATTGTATTTATTGCCCTTCAAGACAAAATGTCTCACTAAATTGATGTACCAGAGTAATGTATGAATAAGTCATTGACTTATATTATTATATTATATTCATGCATGGATCAAATCATAATGAAAGTTATTTAGGACACACATAATATATGCTTCCCGGACTAAAACAAGTGCATGTTTGAGGTGCTCTTTGGATAATTATCACCGTCACAACAGAGTGACGGAAATAGGAAAAGAAAAAGCTATGTCATGTAGTTCTTCCAAGAAATGCACGTTTACAAGCTCCTGTCATCGTCTAAACTGATAACCTGAAGAGCATCAACAGCAATAAAATGATTCACTGTAAACTTCATCCACACCTCACACACCCTGTGGAAACCAAAACCCATAAAAATACACTTATCTACCGGTTAGACTTTGTTCACGCTTGGTTTGTGTAAATACGTGAGCTGCACACAGGGAGCGAGTCGCAAACTGAGGCTGAGCTGTCAGCAGGGACGTGTCCAGAAGGGTGGCCTGGGGGGGTGCAAGGACCCTTTGAATCTGTCGGGATGCCACCCTAAAAATCTCAGACTATGATTGGCTACTTGCCCTGTCAAAGGAGGATCTTGTGTTGTGTTTAAACATGGTACATATTGTTTGTACTCTAAATGGAGACTTTGGACATACCCCTTTCTGTTGAGACATGAAATAATTAAGCATGTGTTGTACACTCGGTGACTTCCAAGCGTTCATTGGTTTTTTAATAATCACTTTTACTTTTTTCTCTGGAGATACAGAAACTTAAGCACATTATTTCAGGGTGGCTACATGTTACCGGACATCTGGGTCAACTTAATTACGCAGGACATTAAAGACCCCTATGCTGCCCCAAAAGTGCCCCAAAAGTGCCTGTGTGAGAAATACTCATACACAAATACACAAGTACACAAATACACAAATAAATTTACTAAAATATTACAGGTTCCTTTGTACATGAATATATATCACATTATCACTGAACAACATAATGTACATCCATCCATCCATCATCTATACTGAGAAGAACCCAGGCATGCACGGGGAGAACATACAAACTCCACACGATAGGCTCCTGTCCAACAGGGATTCAAACCAGGAACCAAAACGGTGCAGCAAAGATATAGTATAAAACATCAAAAATAAAACATGAGAATGAGGGGTGAATGGTGTCCATAAACATCCTTGACATTACTTCATACACCCCACATATGGAAGACTGAAATGTTGGTGATTTGTTGTGTTACTTTTATTTGTAAAATCCGCCACCAGGGGGTTCTCAATCAAAAAAAAACTAAAAGGTGACTTTGAAGAAAATAAAATCTGACTAGACAGTAGTCGAACAGGGTCAAAATAGACCTGAAGAAGAGAATATGTTTACTGACGATGTATCCAAGTATAATGTACATAACGTTTTTATCACAGCAGCACATACAGCAACAGTACGGCAGCTTTCGACTATAAAATTACAGATTTTTCTGGCTTTGATAACTGTTAAATTTGAGGTAATGTAAACTCAACAAAAAAAATTATATTATAGGTTTAGTAAACATTTCATTCATTTAGATATTTTAATGTAAACATTTTAATAAAGGAGTTTTTCATTGGTAGGGGTGCAACTAGGGCGGGACCAATAATGTCAGATGTGTGACCTTATTGGTCCAGCTACTGTGGCAGGTCACCAATAAAGATGCAGAGCTGTCCATGAAGTAAACGTTTTCCAGGAAGTAAAAGATCCAAGCTCGTTGGGATAACGGTAGGCTCACTTTGCATCAGTCCTGAAATATTATCTTTCCGTAAACACTCAAGCATTTTGTTTCTGTTTCTGTAAATCTTTAGAAGATTAAAGGTAAATAGTTCACCTTTTTTCTACTCATGGAAGACTTCTTATTTTAAAACATCACTTTGTGTAGCTCATTAGCTGATTAGCCACCCTAGGTGCCACCACAATCCCTAAACTGTGATTGGCTATCTGCCCTGTCAGAGGGGGGACTTATGTTAAAACCAACTATTTTGTCTTTTTTCTGCAAAGGCTGCTAGTAGTTTTTTTTTTACATATCATTATAGCATATTTTATTTTGTTTGTTTGTACTTTAAATTGTAAATAAAAACTTTGCACATCTATTTCATAAGACAGGTACGTAGGAAAGTAATGCACTTTGTCTTAATTGCAATAAACTAACTGCGAATGTGTCGTCCACCTACCTATATTGGAGTCCTGTCCGAAAATGAGCGACGACATGAGGTTTCCCCACACAGCCGAGGACTGGAAGATGAAGAAGAAGATGCCAAAGTATTGGTTGATGACATCCGAGCCCTTCTTGCCATCTTTAGCGGCCTGCATGTTCCCTGAGATGGTGAGGTAGGTGCATTTAGCCGACCACATTGGAGAGCCGCCCAAACCCAGGATCACCGAGGTGGGAATCAGGGTGTACCTATAGAAGGGAAGGTAAATCAGTTCAACTTTGATGTACTTTAAACTTTGAAAAATCAAAGTTTGAATGCATGTTAAAGTTGTGCACAAATAATGACAGAACAGGGACGTGCACAGATATAAAGGGGGTCAAGGGCTCAAAATAAAAGGGGCACCGAGCCCTGTAGAAATGTAATAAGCGATTATCTCCCACAAATCTAACAGCCTCTATGTGCCTGATGATGTCAACGGTTGATTGGTTTATGGATTACCAGCCAGGGAAGAGGTTCCCAAAGGAGTAGGAGACGTAGCACGCCATGCCCGCCACGATGGTCCATTTACAGCCGAGGTTTTTGATCAAGATGGGCGGCAGGAACATGGAGGAGATGATGATGGAGGCGTAGACGACGCTCAGAGACGCCACGCCCATCCCCTGCTCCGCATTCAGGCTGCTCTGCACACACACACACACACACACACACACACACACACACACACACACACACACACACACACACACACACACACACACACACACACACACACACACAAACAAGGAGGAATATTGCTTATTTTATCTTTTAACTTCTTGTAGATTCAGTTTTAATTTAAACAGTTCTGTTGAAGTACTTTACTCCCTTGGTTCAGGATTTTTTCAAACAATAAATGGCGACAATTTAAGTTTCCCTTCAACGTGAAGTGTGAATTTCAGAGTGCACTGCAAAAACTCAAATCTAAGTAACTGTATTTGGCGTATTTCTAATTCTCATTGCTCTCAGTTTAAGCCACATTTATCTGACACGTCCTCATACACATCTCATTTCAAGATTGTTTTTTATGTGTAAAAAAGAAAATCTGCCTATGGGGCAAGCTAATCTTACTTAAGTTTCTTAAAATATGATGTTATGTTTTATGGTATTTTAATAAATGTGAGTAAAACGTGTTTGCCCCATAGGCAGATTTTTTTTTCAGGCCTTGTTTTTTTCTTGTAATATCTTAAAATAAGATGTTGATCAGGACATGTCGGGGAAATGTGGCTTAAAATAAGTGTAATAAGATATTTTTTTAATGGAAATTAGACAAATGGGGGGCCCATAGCCTAGTGGTTAGTGCGAATGCCCCATGTACGGAGGCCGGGTTTGAATCGGACCTGTGGTTCCTTTCCTGCATGTTATTCCTCTCTCTCTCTCTCTCTCTCTCTCTCTCTCTCTATCCCTGATTTCTGACCTTATTCACTGTCCTATTGCTTAAATAGGTCATAAAAAAAAAGAAATGAGACAAATACACTTACTCAGATTTGAGTTTTGCAATGTAGGTTTTTGTTTTTTTTAAGTGTAAAGACTATAAAGTAATGCGTGTGAATCATGTGTAGACCTATGATGTGTCGCCCTTTAAATCAAAACAACACAATTGTCCCATCTGAGTGATTTGACGTCTGCTGATACTGATTCAGACACGACAGACATTCATTTAATTTATTCATAAAACAAAAATTTGGTCTTCAAGTAAGAAATGAAGTAAAGAATTAATGGAGCGCCTATAGCGGCCATATTGCACACCCCATGTACAGAGGCTATACTGCTGCGTGTCGTCCCCTCCTCTCATCTCCTGACACTTCCTATCTCTCCTCAGCTGTCCTAGGCAAAAATGTTCCCCAAAACAAATCGGAGAATTAAATCTTTTTATGGCTTTATGTAGAGACAGGACAGTGGATAGAGTCAGAAATCAGGAAGAGAGAGAGGGGGGGGATAACATGAAGGGAAAGAGCCACAGGTCAGACTCGAACCCATGCGCTTTGAGGACTACAGTCTCTGTACATGGGGCGAGCACACTAACCACTTGACTATCAATTCTGAAACAAAGAGCAATTAACCGACTGCAAAAAAAAACAAGTGCTATAAAACCAATAATAAAAACGTAAGTAAATCTCTTATCTCTGTAGTTTATTTATTTGTAACGTTACTTCATTCATCGACCAAACAATACAATTACAAACAAACATGAAATCTCAAATCTTGAATGAAAAGGAGCAGAAAGAAGAATTATCTACCCCAAAAACTAACTCCATAAATTATAAAAAATATCATGTTTTTTTTTAACACTTGAATTGCTGGTGTCTTCATGAATCGATCCGTTAAAAAATCCATTAACTCGACTAACTTCCTTAAGATACTGCAGTCAAAATAAACATTTAATCTTAAATTAATTAAAGATTAATGATATTTACGGCACAAAACTAACAACCAAATCAAGTCAAAGGGGGACAGAAAGCGCACATCAAATCTGTTTGAGAGAAAATCCCATTATTTCTAATGTTAAGGGTTTGTTTTAGGGTCTCTATCTTTGCAATTACAGATGGAAATAAATACCAAGAGAAAGTATCGACCCATGATATTCAAATTAAGCGCAATTGTAAGTCTAAATGTATCAAGGGAATCAATAACTTACCTTCATTCGTATACATTTTTCTTAAAATCCAATAATCAACCTCGAGGAACTTATGAATCATTACTCATTTAATGCTCTAAGAAATAGTTTTAAAAATTCTTAAAAATGTATAAAAGAAGTAAAATACTTAAACTCCTGAACATCAAACAGCAGTGTTACTGTGAAAACCCCTCAATTCATTGTCCCTCCATGAATTTACCCAGGAATAAAGTCACTTTATATTTAGATTTTCTAGTATTACATGAGTAAGTATTCTATTTAAAGTGTTATTCAAGTCTGTTATGAACGTCCATATGTCAAGGATTTAAACCTACCTGTAAGCCCTGCAGGCCTCCATACGCTGTAAACAGAGACAGAAACCCGAGAGAGACCACCAGTACGTTCTTGAAGTTGCGGCTGATCATCGCTGCCACACAAAAAAAGTCCTTTGCAAAAAAAACCCCGAAATATAACGGCTTTAAAAGAGATTGATATGTATGTTTAACGTCTTCATACACCAGCTGTTCAGTTCCAGAGTGAAGACAGCTGAAATGGTTGTGTGTGTGTGTGATAAAGTTGTACACTGCCAAGAACAAAGTCCAGCCAAGTGACACACATGGTTTTTGCAGATAGTTACTCAGGATTTCTTATCATCAGGCATCCAAACGGCCTCCTGTAAGTCAAAATTGTCTGAACCTATAAAGTTAAACGACTTTCTTTGAATCATTAAAGATGTTTGGACCATAAAAACCTCCGTCCAACTTCTTCCTTGTTATTTTTAGACATCTTTTAAACATATTTTTAAAACACAATTTTGTGTTTTTGTCAAAACCGAAAATGTACTTAAACAGCTAAGCTAAACATATACTGTACACTTCATGTTATATTAAAATAACAAAATAATTTGTGATCAAATATATATACATCTGTAGACAACAAGAACAAAGAGAGAGCTCACATATATACATTAGACTTAGACATTAGGCGGCAGTAGTTCAATCTGTAGGGACTTGGGTTGGGAACCGGAGGGTCACTGGTTCAAGTCCCAGTGCGGACCAAATATGGAAGTAGCTGGAGAGGTGCAACCAGACCAGATCACTTCCTGAGCACTGCCGAGGTGCCCTTGAGCAAGGCACCAAACCCCCTCAACACCACCAGCTCAGGAGTGCCTGCTGTGGGCAGCTCTGTCACTCTGACATCTCTCCATTGTTCATGTCCAGAGGATCCTGTTTGTGAATGTGTATATTCAAATAAGTGTGTTGCAGAGTGTAAAAACAGAATTTCCCCTTGTGGGATCAATAAAGTAAATCTTACTCTTATTGTCACCCACAGAGCAAAGGTTTACTGCACATTACAGCTGATCCTGTTCCTTATGACAGTGCCAGCTCGTCTTTATTGTGATCACTCGTTGTTTGAACAATATGACAAAAACAAAGTGACTCTGCCGCCTGTTTTCTCTACTGTACTATAAAGGAAACATTCACCACAATGTTTTAGGCCTGTAATAATCTTTATTAAAACAAGACATGCTCATTGCTGTGGTCTCATTCTACACATGATTGAGAAGAAGTTTACGATTGTTCCCTTTTTTAAATATATTTTTCCATCAGATCATGTCGATCATTTTGTGTCTAAAGGAGGTTTATTTGTTGTTTTCGAGCCTTTGCTACCCTGAAAAAACGAGGAGTATGTTGTAACCAAAATAAGATCATGTTTGAGTTTAAAGTAAGCCTGAAGGAGATCAGTTCCTTCTTTCTTTACTGAATTTGTTTATTAGCAGTGGACTGTTGACAGGACTTTTTCTTTTTTGTTTTTTTTTCGGGGGAAAATCAAGGAGAGCAAGTGTGGAATGACATGCGGAAAAGAAGCCACAGTTTGGATTTGAACCCGAGTCGTCTGCTTGGAGGACCATAGTCTTCATATATTGGGTGCAACCTAACCACTAGGCCAACAAATGCACTCTTGACGGGGACTTAAATCCTGCTGTCAACTTTTTAAGACCATGGGATTCACACAAACCCCTGTTTTAGCATGATTATTGAAAATACAATGGGGCCTAAAGGGGAACCATGGGGTACTCCACAAAAAAAACAAGCTGAAAAAATGGTCCTTTCGCACCAAAAGTGACTAAAAGAAGCATTAAGTAAGAGTATCAATAGACTTCAAATGACAGTGTTTGATTTGATGGTGTCAGACCACGAGGCATTGTTTAGAATTTCTAAAGCGATCGGAGAGTAATTTGTTTCCTTCAAGAAAGTTGAATCAGTATTTCTATTTCCCTGATACTACAGGCTGTGCATCATGTCAGTCTAGTTAAAGGTGGAATTTGGACTTTTTCTTGTTAATTCTTTTTACAACTGAGGACGTCATCAATTGGTTGAGTCAGGAAGTAGAGAAAATTCTGTTTACACATTTCGTTGTGACCAATCAGAGTGATGTCAAGTTTGGGCAAATTTTTGGTTACCTGACCTTTCAAATTAGACCCAATGGAGGCATTCAGGCAAGTTTAGAACAGTCACATTTTGTTATTATGATGAGCATGTAACAGTAAAATATCAGTTGTGGGTTTTAGAGCTACTAAAATAGCAATGCAGTGAGTAATCAAAGATGGCAGATTTATAACTACGGGAGAACTCTGACTGCTTGGCTGTTACTGATGGTCATACTCCACCATACTCATAAACTGATTAATCAATAACTGACGTGTTTATGTTGACTTTGGAATTGTTTGCATTGGATATTATAATGATTGTGTATTTAGATTAGTTGATATATAACATTAAAGGTGTTAAACATGCCTTCCTCTTCCCTGATGTTATCTGACATGAGATTATACTTGCGTTTACAGAAACTCAAGTGTGATTCCAGAGTTAGGCCATGGTTTTATTAGATGATTATTTTATGGACGTCCCCACCCTGCTGTTAACGCCAAGTGTGACGTGTCCATTATATTTTGGAATACATATAGCTTACTTAATCCTGAGCTTTACAACCATCATCTCAAAGACAAATAACAAATGACCTCATGAAAGGTGTACAGGAAGAAATATGCAACGTTAATGAAACCCTAATATTGATCCAAAAACATTATATATGATATTGAAACAGTGACAGGGATCATTTTAAAGCATAATGACGTCTTTGGATACCTGAATTACCTGAGTTTTGTACACATGACTTTGTGGTCTGGAAACAATCAATCAATCAAACTTTATTTGTATATCTCTAGCGAGGAGATTTGGCGACCCCTGTGTGCAAAGCGCGTCGTCTCTCTTGACTGATTTTGTTCTGTAGATGTGTTGCCAACAAAACATGTCATTCTGCTTTCTTTAAACAGTCAAATGTAAAAAAAAAAAAAAAATGGAAGTTTGAAACTTAACCTGCTGCAGCAGTTTCAGGCATAAAAAATATTTAAGTACAAAAACTCAATTTTGTCAAGATTATATGGTCTCATTAATTTTTGTAGCAAAAAGGCACAAGAATTAAATTCAGTCCATTTCCTAACCAGCTAAAAACTGAAAGTATGTTCAACCAGTAGAAACATATTAGACACCTAGAATAGTAGAATCTCTAAGATTGTCTTATTGTCTTCTCATGAAGGTTTGTCCCTGATCCCCGTTCATTCTTTAGTCAGCCTATTCTTTATTGAGTTATTTCTTTGACCAACAGGGGGAGCCAGAGCCCACAAATAAAACTTCCAAACTTGGAGGGATCAAGTTTAGTGCACATGACCTGGAATGCATTTAACCTTCAACCTACTCTTAATCCCATAGTGAAAGCACTCTCTTTGTCCTCGTTGTTTCTTTGTGACAGTTTAAGTCGAGAGGACTTGTTTACTTTCAATCATTGCAACTTATCGAAGTGATTATTTTAAATCTGATGGTTAGGCTAATTGTAACCTCTGTGTTGCAGTGCTCCTCGTTTTGTAAAGAAAGGCAGACTCAAGACTTGACTTGGTATAAAGGTTAGATTAGATTACATATACTTTATCGTCCTCAGGGGGGAAATGTGCCTTCAAATACTGCCAAAGCTGAAACTACAATCTTTGTAGTTATTCATCAAGTGGAATCAAAGAGATGTTTTTGTAAACACAGTTCAACAGAGATTTTTCAGAACAGAGCTAACACACTTCAAAGACATGATGAGTGTTTGACATTCCTGTTAAATGACCAAAGTACAAGTTATTCAGAAAACAGGCATCTGATTGGTTGGTTTGATTTTATGTACTTGTTCTTCCTGAGTATTTATTGGATAAACAAACGGACCAATGAGGATTGATCTCTCTCTCTCTCTCTCTCTCTCTCTCTCTCTCTCTCTCTCTCTCTCTCTCTCTCTCTCTCTTTCACACACACACACTCACACACAGAGTCAGACCCTGAGGTGGAAGAATTACAGGTATTAGAGGAGCAGACAGACAGGTATGTCTGCTCTGCTTCAGATATGAGATGAAGGCTCAGGGCACTTTAATAATATACCCTGTGTGTGTGTGTGTGTGTGTGTGTGTGTGTGTTTCCTGTATGTCTGACAAAGAGAGAGCACACTGTTTCAACAGTTAGAATACAAAGTGTTGAAGGAACTTTATTGTTTTTTAATCACTGAAAATAAAACAGAACATGTTCAAACAAGCAGCAACATCCAGTGTTGAAAAAAGGTGCCAAGGCAGGAGTCCAAAAAAACTGCAGTGCCTCGGGGGTCCACATGAGACTGTCTTCAAAATATATTTATTAATATGAATTTATTTTGGGGCTAGTGTTGGAAACCAGGAGAGAGTGGGGAGTGACATGTTGGAAAGGAGCCACAGGTTGGATTCAAACCTGGGCTGTCTGCTTTAGGGACTAGAGCCTCATGGGGTACGCAAACTAACCACCATAGGACACCAGCACCCCAAGTGTCCATCAGTCCATTAGACCCATTGACTGGGTCTTTCATTGGCCCAGCCATTTCTGTGGGCGGGCCTGTGCTTAGGTTGTGCTATAGGTGCAGGTGGTGCACCTTTAGTTTGTGAATAAGCTGTAGACCCACAGGGCTTAAAGCAAACAAAAAGGACTTCAGGTTTGTTGAGTTCTTAGTGTGTTTGAGCTCATAGTTAAGAATAATCACAACATGTGTTTCATAAAACGAATTGACCTATTATGACTTCAATCCTTGCGTGAAAGTTGCAGAATAAGTAAAAAAGCTTCGGTGTTACTTCTGCTTCTTTTGACGCTCTCTGGGAAAGTGAGACTAATGCTTCATACAGTCCTCTGAGGGAAAGATTCAGGACTCCAGATTGAGCCAGGTCACACTCTCTAATCCCAGACCCCTACCTGCCTGCTCGCCGCCTGCTGCAGACTCATGGGAAAAAAACTCTCTCACACACACTTGCCCTGTTTCTCACACACACACACACGCTTTGCTCTCTTTTCTCACCCAATCCTGCAGCTCTCTCGCCCTAAATCCCTGCTGGAATCTCAGACCTGTGTGTGAACCGACTGACTCTGACGCATATGAGGGTTTTTTTTAAAACACTCAGACTGATACTGGGCCTTTTGGATTGAAGATGCCGACAGACCCGAAATCTTTAAAACCTGAATAGTTTAATAACAAGTAGGTTTAAATATGATGTC